AACAAGGACCCATTGATGGTTCGTTCAAATGCCAGATGTGCAATGGCTCGGGACATATTGCTTCGCAATGTGCGAATAACTGGGTCGTTGACAATCCGAATACTAAGGAAGGTAATCGTGTTGCTAATGTAACAAATATTCCGAACCGATTTGTGTCGACTTTAAACTCCAAAGGGGTGGCCCAATAGAAGGCTGGGATGGTCACCCCGGATTATATATAATTGGAGACAGTACTGTTTGTAGTAATCAACAGTCTATCCAGTCTCTTACCCAGCCCTTTGTTAAGTGTTTGTTAAATGGGTTGCAGGTCGAAGCTTTAATTGATACTGGATCTGCAAAGTCATTTTTGAGTAAATCTGCTTATGCTGCTATTGTAGAACAAAAGTTAAACAAGCTTGAGGGGGGAGATGTAGGAACTTTCAGCAGTACTGCCTCCGATCGGTGCATTTCCGTGACAGGTCAAGCCCTGCATATAACAGGAGTTTTTGAGGGTAGTGTTACTTTACATGACAGTAGTGTTTCTTACTTTCATCGATTTGTTGTTTGCGATAATATATTATCACCGTTGCAATGTATTTTGGGTTGGGATTTTATTCAAGCAAATCGATTGCAACTAGTTAATGATAGAAGAATTTATTATTTATCTGGTCCACATGGAAATTTACCCTTAACCCCTGTTTATGAAAACAGTAAAGGGTCTTCCGAAACTTTATTTCAGTCATCTACTTTAGGCCCAGTACCTGTTAAATTAACTAGTGCTATAGTTGTGCCTCCAATGTCAGAACTTGTCATCAAGTGCAGTATTTCAAGAAGTTCCAAAAATTTGGTAGGTATGATAACATCGAATTGTGACCAATCCTCCCTTCCCACAGTTCATGTTGCTCATGTAGTTTGCTCTGCTAACAATCGTGTTGTACCTGTTCGACTTTTAAATAATCATACTAAAGAAGTTGAGCTTCAAGCAGGGCAAAAGATTGCTGAATTTTGCCCCCTTGTTAGTCAAGGAGTTGAACTGGGCACCTCGAGTTGTAGTGCTGCGACATTTAGTAATGGTGATAAGTCTCACGAAGAGCTCGCCGCAGCAATAAGTTCCTCTCTATTGCCTGAGCAAAAGGCTTCCATTCTGGATGTGCTATACCGGTATTCAGAGGTATTTGAGGATACTTTAGGCCATTCTTCTGTTGTTACTCATTCTATTGACACGGGGAATGCAGCCCCTATTCGCCAGCACCCCCGACGTCTTCCATTTGCATACAGGGAAGATGCTCAACAGCAAATCGCGAATATGTTAAAACAAGGGGTTATTAAGCCAAGTACTAGTGCATGGGCATCCCCAATTGTCATGGTTAAGAAGAAAGACGGTAGTTATCGATTTTGTATTGACTATAGACGCCTTAATGCAGTCACTCAGCGAGATGCACGCCCTCTACCACGAGTCGATGACCTTTTAGACTCTCTTCAGGGTTATAAGTACTTTAGTACTTTAGATCTACGCTCAGGGTATTGGCAGCTTGATGTCAACCCGAAGGATAGGCATAAGACAGCTTTCGTTACTCCTCAAGGATTGTGGGAATTCGTTCGCCTCCCTTTTGGATTGTGTGGAGCTCCGTCAACGTTTGACCGAGCCATGAAAATTATAATGTCAGGGTTAAATTACGAAAGTTGTCTGTGTTATTTTGACGATATAATTATTCCGTCAATAGATATAAATCAACACTGCGAGCGTTTAGAATTGGTTTTAGAGAGACTACAAAAGGCAAACTTAAGAGTTAAAGCTTCTAAATGTCTTTTTGGTGCAGATAAGGTTGTTTATCTAGGTCATACTGTTTCTGCGGAGGGAATTCATACTGAACCGGGCAAAATTGAAGCAGTTCAAAAAATGTGCCCCCCAAATAATGTGGAACAAGTGAGATCCTTTCTTGGATTGGCTGGGTATTACAGAAAATTTATTCCCAATTTTGCAACTATTGCGGCCCCATTGACGAGTTTAACCAAAAAGGGTTGCAAATTTCAGTGGTTAACGGTTCATCAGCGATCTTTTGACTTATTAAAACGGCAGTTGTGTAATGCCCCAATACTTGTTTACCCTCAGTTAGATGCACCATTTATTTTACAGACAGATGCTTCAAATGTCGGGTTGGGAGCTGTATTAACCCAGAAAGATAGTTCTGGAGATGAGCGTGTTATTTCTTACGCTAGTCGTGCTTTGACTGAGAGGGAAAGAAATTATTCGGTTTTGGAGAAGGAAGCCTTAGCTGTTGTTTTTGCTACTCAACACTTTCGGGTGTATTTACTTGGCCAGAAATTTAAACTTGTTACCGATAATAATGCTCTAACCTGGCTACATAAAATTGAGCCTAAAGGTAGGATAGCACGCTGGATAATGGGTTTACAGGAGTTTGAATTTGAAATATCCCATAGGCCTGGGAGGGAAAATGCTAATGCTGATGCGCTGTCTCGGCTAGTTGATACAGAAGATAAGCATAGCGTGGAAGAAATGTCTGACAAGTATACTACTTGTTTTGTCAAGTTGACACCTGAGTTGAATTTGCACCAAGCTCAGTTAAATGACCCGGACATTGCTATAGTTGTAGCTCTTAAGGAACAACGGCTACCTAAACCCCCTCTTTTTTGTATGGAAGAAAAACGAAATTTTGCGCACTTTGTGGTATTGTTGGGATGAGTTATTTCTCTCAGACGGCTTGCTTGTTAGAGCTATTTCGACAGGTCAAAAAGTGCCCCGACGTGTGTTTGTCGTTCCACAATCTGTCGTAGGCCAAATTTTACATAGCCTTCATTCCGGGCCGTCTGGGGGTCATATGGGAATTACACGTACTTTATATCGTGTTAAGCAACGCTTCTTTTGGCCAAAAATGCAAGAGTGCGTGAAAAACTATATCACATCTTGTTCAGAATGTATGCAAAGTAAACTGTTACCTAACCAAGGGAAAGCTCCACTTACGCCCATTTTGGTAGGTGAACCCTTCGTATTTTGGGCTATTGATTATATGGGCCCACTTCCAGAGACATCAAGGGGTAATAAACATTTGTTGGTTGTCGGAGATCATTTTACTAAATGGTGCGAAGCATTTGCAACTAAAGATCAAAAAGCACAAACGGTAGCTAGGCTTTTAGTCTCAAAGTTGTTTTTTCGTTTCGGTCCCCCCGATATATTGCATTCTGATCAGGGACAAAATTTCGAGAGCAACTTAATGCACGAAATTTGTCAAATTATGGGAATAAAGAAATCCCGTACGACTGCATATCATCCAGAAGGGGATGGGCAAGTGGAAAGGCAAAATAGGACATTGCAGGAAATTTTGTCTTCTTTCGTGAGTGAACATCCTGAAAATTGGGACTTGTATGTTGATCAGACTGTTTATGCGTATAATACCAGCCGGCATGAAACAACCGGGTATTCCCCCTATGAATTAGTTTTCGGACGAGAGCCAAGGATGCCCATAGAGGTGGATTTAGGAGTGCCTTTGCAAAATCCCCGGAGTCATTCAGAGTATGCTCGTGAGGTTAGACAAGCCATAAGGAATTCTACTGAGATAGCACAGAAAAATTTATATGCAGCTAAGAAAAGGCAGGCTCTGTATGCTGATCGGAGAAGTAAAGAGTGGAAGCCCTTTGAATTAGGGTCATATGTGTGGTTGCGGCGACCAAAAAAGTGGAAATTTGGGAGGAAGTGGGTAGGCCCATATAAGGTTCTTGTAAAAATGGGTGTTAATTATAAGGTGGAGTCGCAGCACGGAAAAGCCATGGTTGTTCATCATAATCAGTTGAAACCTTGTCCTTTGTCTTTTAATGATGAGGGTAAGGACATTTGTCCAGTTTCTGAAACACCAGATTGTGAAATTGTAGAGCAGGATACTGATGATGACATGGACGAAAACCCTGGGGAAATAAGAAATCAAGTTTATGTACGCCCCCCAAGATTACGTCAGGTTGTTAATCCCCCTTTAAGGTATGGCGATTATGTTTCTCATTAGGCTTGCTCTTCATTGAGAGAGGGGAAGGTTTGTAACGTGTGCATGTGTGCATGTGATGTCATGTTCGAAGGCACATCTGTAGAATCATGAGTTTTCTAATGGTGTCATTAGGCAATGCTAGTTAATGACGTATTGCTTGTGCTCGTCATGTGATGACATGTCACGTTTATCAATAAATTGGAAAACCGTGATTGTTCGAAGATTAGAGAATCGGAATATGCACTAGAGACACGTCTGTTTCTGTTGTCCGTTCTGCCCGGTCATAACACATTATTGTTAAAAATGACTAATTATTGTGTCGTCGGTCTTCAAAAACATTTACATCTTTTCTGAATAATATAGCAAGAATTACTGAATAACAACCGTCTATCTTCTGAACAAAATGATTTTCTTTTTCTTTTCCACCCCATCCAGCAGTCAATTCCCACCCCATCCAGCAGCCCATTCCCACCCCCACCCAGCAGCCCATTCCCACCCCATCCAGCACTCCATCCCCCACCCCAATTAATTCAAGAACTAGAACGTTTCTGTTTGTATTCTTACAAAACTAAACATTTGCAATCCTAAGAAATACAGGACCGGTGTGAGAATGTATTGACAAAAAAGTATTCTTCGGTTGGAAAGTGGTAGTCTGTCCTCTTAGAAATTACTAATTATAAGTAAAGTGATCGTTAGATTGTTCTGGTTTAGTCAGCGCCAATAGTTCTATGAAAGGTGCGTGTGATATCCCCGTCGTTGTTAGGCCAGCACTTTCAAGAATTTTAATATTTTTCTACAGGAAGATGGAATCGAAGTAGAAGTTGTCGAAAATGAGTTTCTTGAAGAGGAGAAAGAGCCAAAATTAAAATTCAAAAAGAGGATTGTAATTGCAAATAGAGGATCCGAGGATGAAGATGACAACGGCGATAAGATAGTTGAAGCAGAAACGAACAAAGAACAGGAAAAAGAGAATTGTCTTGGTCAATCGGAAGGTTCGTTGAATTCTGAAAATGTTAAAGAAGATGTCAAATGTGATGATGACCACAGGAGAGAAAAATTGGATTTGGAAACAAAGCGAGAAAGAAGGAAAAAGAGACATAGAAGGGACAGGTCCACTCACAGGTGAGATTATTTTGTCTCGTTCACTTGATCAACGTTCTCTCTATAGCCATCTATAGGCCTGCTCGGTCCTGCTTCCACCTTAAAGATAATGTAGGCGATCTAGAAATTACGAACCAATGGGGTATGGGCATTTACATACTTTGAAGTGTTAACAATTGATCACATGACAGTTTCGCATCCTTGTTGTGCCATTAGGTATAACGCTTGATCTTTATTAGATTATTTTGTTCTTTTCAAATCTTCACGGTATGGATGGAAAACGGTATACGGTACAAGCATGCGACTCAAGAACGGTACGCTTACCGTGCAGCTTTCCGTTTTTTGAAAGTTGAAATCAGGGCAACTTTTTTCACGGAATTCGTACCGTTTGATTTCTCAACCAATCATGTTCGTGGCATTGCGTCATAACTTCAGCAACAAGCTGTGCTTTGAACTGAGTCACAGTAATTTTGAAATACTTGAATTAGTATTACCTATCATCGGTGGAGTTGCAAAGCCCCCCTTGTAAATGCCAATAATGAACCCTTTTCTACTCTTTACTATCCTTTTTGAGAAATATCTCGAAAAGGCCCCTCTTGTGTTTTTCATAGCAACAATTGTAATTTCATAGTTCTCTGGGTGGAACTCTCTTTTTCGCTTTTTTCTTTTAACTTGATTCACCCATATGCTCTTCTCGCATTTCTTTCTTTTTTAACTTTACAATCTTCTTTCAAAGGAAAAAGCATCATAAAATTGTTTAGCATAAACATGCCTTCTTTCCCTTCCTCGGGCATGTATCATTGTACGAAATGGAAATGGGAAAGAAGCCAAGTGGAAATTGATGGGTGGAAACTCCCCGAACCGTTTACCGTTTATCGTTTTCCGCTTTCCGTGCATACCGTGAAGTGGAAATCCAACTGAAATGCTCTCTCTGATCATCCTCGTTATAGCGATCATGGCGGCATGGTCGTCGTAATTCCAAACTTTAATTTCGTGATATCGAAAAGGTGTTGGTTGCTCCTAATCGGATTTTTTTTAAAAGGGTAGGTTTCGGGTTGTTTTAATTACTTAAAGCCTGTTAGAGGGATTAAAACAGCTTCTTTATCAAGCCAATCCTTCAAATCTGTTTCCATGGTTAGAAAAGTGGTTTTTGAATGCATCCAGTCTTTCTTCATTTCTGTCAACTTACAAAAAAGGTCTCACTGAATGCTGGCAACGTTTGTGAAAAATTCTCTTCGTAGCAAAAAATGTTTGATAAAAAAACAATAGCATTGATCTTACACGTCATATTTTAGCAGTATCTAAAATTTCTTGTAGGTATGAAATTCCCACTGAAGACAAAACTTCGAAGCTTTTTCTATAAACTTGGTGTGTTTCAAATGTAATTGACGGTTGCCATGGCCCCCTGCAAAGCGATTCTTATGAACTGACTGGGTTACCGTGCCTGAATAATTAGAATTGAAGTGAAATTGATTGATGAAATGAACGGTATTCTTTTTTTCAAGGAAAGAAAGTAAGAATTTGTGTGAAGAATTATCCACTCAAAATTAGCCCGATGGACATTGTCACCCTACGACATGGGCTTTTTGGCCTATTGTTTAAGGTTTAAACCAATAATATAAGGTTGACTCTTGAACAAGTGTTTATAATAGAATTACAGGCTGGATTACTAAATAAGTTATTTATAGGCACAGCTCGTAAGACGCGTCGACAATTAAGGTAGGTTTCAAAATAGTTTCGAACACGCGCATCTCGAAAAAAAATTTTCCCCTATATTCATTTCCCTCACTTTGTATGCCAACATTACCTCTTTCAGCACTTATCCTGTTTTATGACGCAATGTTTTCATTGACATATTGACATCTGTTACCTTGGCACAAGCTAACTTCTTACTGGCGTACCATTCTACGGTATAAAAAATGATCACAATTTGTTACTTGCTAAAATGGTATGTGTTTCAAACGGTGGCCCTGATATGAAGAACAGCAAAGGAATTTGAAGACGAGTTTCTTCGATGCTGTTTGGCCTTGCCTTATCGTTGCAGTCTTTTTTGTGGCATTCAATGATACAAAATATCAAAGTTTTTACTTTTCAACTGAAAATTTCAACTGAGCACATGAGACCATGTCTATTCGACTGACTGTTGATTACAAAGCTTGTTCTAATGACTCGAGAGTTGTTTTGTCCAGTTGTAGTAAAATGTTGTCGTAGATCTTTGCTTCAAATTTTTGTTAATTGAAAAATGACCTTTACTTTTGTTTTTATTCAGCAAAGAAAGAAGAAGAGGCAGTCCAAAGTTTGTAGTTACATTACATGGAGCACTTGACAGTCGTATCAAAGCACAGAGGAAGAGAAAGCACTATTTATCGAAAGACGACTATGATCACCCAATGTTTGTTGATTTGCACCCGAAGGAGCCTCTCGAGATTTTGGAGTCGGCACAAAAAGAAATCGAAAAAATGGCACATCAGCTTGACTTGATGCAAAATATTGCACCAACTAGTATGAATGACCCTTTTAATACTTTATTGCCAGGACCAACAACTTTGCCAGCTTTGTCTAGTGTTTTAACATCGGTGACGAGACCTATTTTCCAAGAAGCCTTGCCTGTCTTGCCGGGTAATAACGGACTTATGTTAAGCAGTGTTAACCCAACTCAACAGGTTTTTACAGGGGTACTTCCATTACAGACACCAGTGATGATGGTTCCAAAACCACAAGAAGAACCCGTTTTTGCAGGAAATAAGCAATTAGGGAGAGAAATAGTTATTCCCTTGCATGATGAAAAAGATGAACTTATGTATGAAGATGATGAAGGTTTGTCTCTAAACTTTTTATGTTGTTTCCACAAAATCAAACCTACCTTGTTAAAATGGTTGGTTTATGCCACTGGCAGTTAGGACCTTGCATCCAAAGGCTCTTTCCCTAACTCCCTCAATCATACAAATATCTTCTGTGCTCCAATTCTGAGAAATCGCAGTTTCAGAACGTTGTTTTATACTCTTGCCATCTGCAAAGATGAAGGAGAGCCTTTTTTATCACACTGCTTCTTCACCTCATGATTGTTCCGGAGTATATTAAATTTTCAGCAATGATTTAGGACAGATATCCAAATCACATGTACAGCTCTACCTATACCGCATTAAGCTCTTTCTAACAGACAGGTGAACAGTGATTTTCATAAACTGCTTTGTAACTAACAATATTCTGTTTTGCAGGTGATGACAATAACAGCCCCACTGAAGAAGAGCAACCTGAAACAATTCTAGAGCGCTGTAAATTTTGGCCTAATTGTAAAAATGCTTCATGTTTATACGTCCACCCATCCAAACCGTGCAGGTGAGAGACGACGATCTTTTGCCACAACTCAGTGTCTTACTTAAACAGCTTTTACAATACTGCTAGCTACAGTAAGAAGAATTTCGTAATCGTAAAATTTCCCAAACTTTGTTAGATTTCTGTGACATGAAATATTTAATTGTTATATTCTTTCTTCTTTGTATTCAGAACGTTTCCGAATTGCAATTTTAAAGAAAAATGTATTTTTGTTCATCCGATGTGCAAGTTTGATGGCAGGTCAGTAATTTTGTGCTTTCCTGTGGATGAGCTATTTTTAAGTATTTGCAAATATAAGGAGGAACAAGAAATATGACCCGATTCATCATAAAAACATGTCTACTTTCCATACACGTGATCGCCGCTGAAGTATTACGTTTTGTCATTACCTGAAAATATTAGCTACAGAAACTACAAGTCTTGGTTTAAGAGTTATGATCATACCTGCGACTGGAAAAAACATAACAGAAACAAAAATAATCGAGATATTTCACCAAACTTTAAGGATTGGTTTCCGATGCATTTTAGGAAAGATATGACAATTTTTACTTCATATTTTCCATGTTTTGATTATTAGTCTTCTGTTTTTTAGATATTTCTTTCAAATTATTAGCAAGTTTTCCTTTTTTAGGTGCTCCAACTCATCTTGTCCATACAACCATTCATTAAAATCAAGTCCCTTTCTACAATATTCTTCTAAAGGTTAGTGATTTTTAAACCGGAGATTGCAACAGAAAAAAGCAAAACGGGTCGAAATATATTTCATGCAGAGTAGTAACGTTTGTGTGCAGCCGTCTAATTAGGCCGAATAAGCATTTTCCTTGATCTTAAGACAATTAAGTGGTGATGGATGTTTTCATTGCAATTATTGATTGGCTTATTTTTTCTTAGTTTATTAAAAGGTTTTGTTTGTGTTAATTCATTATAAGTAGTTTTGTTTATTGTTTATCATTTGATATATTTTCATTGTATCATAATTTTTCAGCAGGGCCTATTTCGTTGTCCACTGTAGATGTCATTTTTGTAGATCACTGACTTTAACCATTGTGGATGTCATTTTTGTAGATCACTGAGTTTAACCTTTGCTTTTCCACATTATTTCTATGAGATTTTTCTTGCTTTCAGCGTTTGGACGAGAAGCGGCAATTGATTCCAAGCCTCCGAAACCCATTTGTAAATTTGTCCCGAATTGCACAAGAAGCAATTGTCCTTTTCGTCATCCTATTTCAAAGGTAAGAAATTTTAATGTTGAAATTTCTTCAATTTGGTTTGGTTTTTCCTTTGGTTGGTCTTTTCACTATAACGGGGTAATTTCTTAGAAATTCATCCAGATTTTTTAGATTTTAACCTATTCTCTAGAAGCATTTTGAATCTAAGCCATGTCAACACAGTTGAACAATAACCTAAATTTGGCTCACAATCTCTCTCTGATCAAATGTTATTGCTATATATTTCTGTACGTTTTGTTTAAAACTGGATGTTATCATCTTCTCAACACGTTTATCGTGATCTTGCACCTTTGTATTAAATCCTAGCTGACTTTTTCTTTGATCGAATTTTTTGTGAAAGCTTTAATGTTGAATCCAATATGCTACCAGATATGTACCCTCGAAAAAGATGTTATTCCCTCCAAAGTTGCATACCTGTTTCAAAAGTTGCATACCTGTTTCAAAAGTTGCATACCTTTTTATCAATAGCCCCTATTGTTCAGTCAAATTTGTATATATATGTAGTTTTGAAATATGTTTATATAGGTATTTCAACTAGTCTTACAAGAACTACATTGCAGCCAATTTTCCTGATGGTCTTTTGCTTTTTCATAGAACTCTGAATTCTATGCAATAATTTTATTTATACCGTATTTCTATTGAACGCCGCATCCAAAATTTGATTTTTGTAATAAACGCCGCGGCGTTCTTTAGAGGAAATATGGTATCTACCAATATGAAATACATTTATTTGTCTTTCGGCTTTTGTATAAAAGGCTTTTGAGAAAAGACTTGGTGTATTAGCTATGATACCTTGGATTCAGGAGAACCACCGTCTTGTTGTGCGTAATCGGTTTTAGAAGTGTATCGTTATTCTTGTTTACCGGAATTTCTTGAATACAAACCATGGCTTCTGTTTTTTTTCTTGTCAAAAATGCAACTTCTATTCAAAGGGAGTTTCTATATTTCTCAGAAGCATTTCATTCACAAAAGTTCGAATATTTGAATATTGCTCACACTTATTTGAACATTTAAATGAAAAATCGGTTAAATTGGTATGGAATTATGTGTGGCTATGAAAAACCAATCTTGTGTTTTTATTATCGTAGGCCTTTTCAAGGCGGCTTATGCTACAGTTTGGCTTCAATTTATTGATGTATTTTACTTGCAAAATGTAGCTTCCATTAAGAAGAATACGGTATTATCTTTTCTGAAATTTAACAGCAAAAGGTCCATTTAAAAGGTTTTTTTTGAACAGGAAAGAACATTGAACCTGGTGATGTGACAATGTCTTTTTGTATTGCCAGCCCTAAATCAGCAACACAGCATACCTGAAATGCGTATGAAGAAACCTATATATTTTGGGCCTATACGACTTCGTGTTTGTTATGTTCATAATGATATTGCAATAGTGATGATACAATGATCTGTTTTTATTCAGCCATGCCGCTATGGCTCTGGTTGCAAAAGGATAAACTGTCCATTTCATCATGAGACTAGACCTGCCAAAAAAGAAGATTTGAAATGGAGTAGTACTGCTCGTTCGACAGAAAAGCACATCAGGTACTTCATTTAAGCACTTATATCTTATTGCCAGATCTACAAGCTGCTTTCTGTCAAACCTTGCCCGTATTTTACATTGATTACGTTGATTCGCTGACTGCGATGATTATATAAATTCTTTAAGTATTTTTTGTATGGTTGCAATTTTTTTCAGTTTTTTTATTTATCTATTTCTTTATTCTTTTCGTTTAAATAGGAATATACATTAGAATATTATTTTCATGTGATTGTTATTGCCAATTGTGAGTTTCATTTGGTATTTTTGATACATTCTTTTTTATTGCAGCGAAAGAATATTTGCTGCAGGTGATGGAGATGTTACCGAAGCACCAGTTTCGCTCACCGCTCAATAAGACGATAAGTTTGCTTTAGACTTAGAACATTTTTTGCATGATTTTATATCACTATCCGTTCTTATTAGAGTGCATGCTTTAATGATCTGTTGTCAGACCCTTTTCTTGCGAAGGAACCAATTGATATTATTGTTGAAACATAGCATGTCACGATTTATCCGTAAAGTGTTTGTCTGTTTTGCTACAAGTTGGGGAAAGGCGAACTGGAAATACTGTTTGACGTGGAATATGATTTGACATGTGGATCTTTTGATTGAGTGTTTCTGACTGTCCTTCGAAATAACAACACAAAAAGGGGAAACATCATAAAAAGAATTAGGGAGAATTAGAGAAAGTGAAATCAAAATGTAAAATGGAATGAGCGGGATAGATAAATAAAAGAGGCACAACATCTTGGACTTTTTCTAAATCGTACAAACATTATGTAACTTCTTATAAAGCGTGCAAAGATTGTGTAACTTCCAGTGAGTGGGCTAAAATAGTGGCTTCCAGTGAGAGTGGATTGTGAAACTATTTTGGCGAAAATGGTAATTTTTCGAGCTGTGTGAAACAGGTGACTACTCTCTTCACCAACTGTGCTTTCTGCAGCTCAGTCTGATTTTAGTCATATGTATTGTCAGATGTGAACTGTGAGTGGTTCACGGGCGGGGCTAAACAGTTCGATTAGTAGATTAGTTTTACGTCACTCTTTCATCCAAAAGTATACGCACCCACTAGTTCCCGTGTGAACCAACGCCTAACCGTACTCTTTGGGAAACATAGAGGCTGCGTTTCGTCATATTGTGGTGTTACGGCTGTGATTTGGTTAAGATTAAGCAAGAAGTAAATTGTACTTCAAGGTGGCAATGTTTCAAACACTTTTCGTGCTCACTTGGCAGCGCATGCCATTATCAAGGTATTTTAGCTTTGTCAATGAGGGTTACCGTAAGTCCAATAAGCCCCCACCCTCAAATTAGCTTCCGCAGGCTGAGGTATTGCCTCGACAGCAATTGGTTTATTCCAATATATCTGCCTTTAAGCATACTGACCAGCCTCGAATAGGGGAAGAGAAATTTCCCAGGTAATATTTTTGGCTGCTTCTACATAAGCACTCCCCTCGAATACGCCCCCAGCCCAAAATATTTTTTGCGAAATAGGCCCCCGGGACTTTTTCGAGGACTTAAGGTATCTATGACTTGAAATGTTTCTTATGTTTCGGTATAGTTTTATTTGATTCTTTTCAACAAATTGTCTTACTTTCCATTTTTACAATTTTCCAGGAGTTTCTTGAAACTTTGCTGTGTGCATTTTTAATTAACGCAATCTGTGCCCTGTAACTTTAAAGGAGTCACTCTACACTGGGTGTTTTTTGCTGATGATCTATTGCGACATAGCCACACCAAACATGTGCTCTGCAGCTGCATTAAATTTCATCAAAGGAAGTCATTTTCGAAACAGTTTCTAACACGATTGTCTCGCAACAATCCTAAAAAGATATCTGTAAAAACGGCTGAAAATCCCAGAAAACGTATTTAGTGTCATAGCAAAGACCCACGCTTCTTTCGAATGTATTTTTGCCCGCTTCTTTGAATATGCACCTGCCCCTTCCAGGCATGTTTGTTCTGACCTTCTTTCTTCATCTGTTTCTTTGACATTGTAACATTTATCATAAAAGCCGCCTTTTGAATCATCATGTTTTTCACGTGCAGCACAGTCAACAGTCTGTGTGGGCATCGTTTGATATACGTATATGTAACACCACAGATACTGGTCAACAATTTGCACTATGTTCAGCGCCAAGTGGCCCAATACTTTACCACCACACTGTACACCTTACGTTTTAGCGTGAGATTTTCTAACATTGGCACGCCACGGGGCCTTTTTAACATACTAACTACGGGGGCAATTGCCCTACCATCCCTCGACTTTGCCCCCGCACTCAAGAGATTTTTGATCCCAGAAAATAGTCCCTTGTTTGTCGCCACCACTTCGTAGAATTGTGAAGCACATCAGCAGGAGCCATAAGTTGTAGAAAACGATTGCAATACGATATCATAAGTGTTTACATGGCACTGATTTCATAAGTTTACATGGGAGACTTTCACACAGTCGAAAACTAAAAACTGAAGGAAATTAAGGGATCAAAACTAAATGAAGATGTAAAATGAAGATGAAGATAAATGAAGGTGGCACTTTTTAGTAAAGGACTCAAATCTTGAAAAAATAAGGCCCTTAAAATTACTGTTTAATTCCTGTATCACTGTGGTCATTCATTTCAGATTAGTAAAAGCAACGGAACAGAAAATGTAAGGGGTCAGACAGCAAAATTGGCTGTGGAACGTGTTTGTCTACATTTAGGTATAAATTTGTGTCACAAATTTGATTGTGTTTTTGGTTTGCATGATTGATCCCAATTCCACTCAACTTCGAACAGTTTCGTTGCAAAGAGATTTTTAGCATTGTGATTTCTTGGCTACCTTCCCTCTTAGAGTGTCCGATTTAATTGAACAATCCAGGGATATCGGGGGATCAAGTGAAAGAGTTTTCAGATAACGTCTTCGATACTTTTGCTGATTTCAGGCCAAACAAGACTTTTCAACGAGGATTTTATACATGTTTAGAAGAAGTACTGGACTTGTTCAAAGTTTGCTATCTGCCATTATCTTCGTATCACCTGGCATTATGACCATTGAAAAAAGTGTCAACAGAAAGCTGTTTCATTTCATGTGAAATACGAAATGAATTTCTTTGAAGTATGGGATCATAAAAGCTTCCTAGAAAATACCCCTTATCTCCTGTTTTTGCTTGTTCATCCCGTCCTTTTTCAAAAATTGCCCCTCTACTTAAAATTTCTTTAAAAAGGCAATGGCACGCCATTTTATCCTAAAATGCATGAAGGCCCATAGAATGTCTCCATTCCGTAGATTGCGCATGCATTTAAATAGCTTCGAAAACTTCACTGATCAGAGCTTTTGCGAGTATAGCATCAGGACCTGTTGATTTATTAGGATTTAAAGATAATGTAGAACATTTCATTACATTCGCATCATTGCATCGTTCGTGGAAGGTAGAGGAGCCATCTAGACTAATTTGCTCTTTCATCATCTTTATACTAGGATGATTTTTATATCCTTGTTATGCTAGCAAGTATTTTTATGAGTTCAAGGAGTCCATGATATCTTTAATCATTTGTACATATTTTCTAGCCTAACTTTATATAATAAAGGACTATACTTACATTTGGTGATATTTACTTATTAGTTTTTGTTTTATTAATTATTTACTTATTTTACTGCCAGTGAAAAACCTATATTATACTTGGGATCTGTGCAATGAATACATTACATTACATTGTGCAATCTATGTACTATCTGATGATATTGTCCACAATGAGGATAATCTTTCTTATATCATCAAGGTCTTGTTCAATGTTTGTTGTTGTAAAGTAGGCAGAGAAGCAAAAAGGCATTTGTTCGCATTTTTGAATTATTTATTAAATCATAAAAAAAAGAACAGCAATTTATTTAGCCATGAAAAAATACTCCTAGCCTCTATCTCGATCACAGTGTCCAGCCTCGAATTCTGTGCAACACGCTGTTTCTATAACCTGCATAACTCGTGACTACAGATCCTGACAGATTCCAACATTTATCATTTTGATATGTCTTATATCATTTGCCAAATGACATATTCTACATTTGAGAGTTCCATAGTATATAGTATCTTCCAGTGCTTGTGTGTGGCGAATTCGAAGGTAACAACTAATTTGAAGACTGGGTATTGATTGACAACCAATAACCCCGGTTGAACTTTTGCTCTCTAGCTGTCATGTTTTGAGTATGATCGTATTCGTCATAAAAATACGCCAGCTGCTTGCATATTGGAAAAAAGTTTTCTCTGAATGTGTATGTCTACTTCGAACAATATTGAGCTTGAGAGCCTCACAGCATTGGTAGGTGAACTCCCACTCAAAATGAAATGTAAGCATACAAGAGAGGGCCTGTTACCTTTGAAACGTGTGACTACTTTCTTTAACCTGCCGAGACGATCCAGTTGCAAGGAAGCATCCCTGACGACAAGGTTATTTAGAAATGATTCGCAGCTTTTTAATTATTTCGTAGCTGATATTCATGTTCGATCTGCTGTAGGCATCTTTAGTCAGGGGTGTAGAGCTAGGGGGGTGTAGGCTGAGCCCCCCTTGTTGATGCCGAAAATTGGCAAATCTCTTATTTTGCTATTGTTTTTCGCGACATTTTGGGCAAGAGCCCCCCTTGTTATTTTGATAGCACAACGTACAGACTAGATTATTGTACGTGAATATTCTTTACATGTTTTGAGTAGGCAAAATAAGAAAATAATATGAAATTGATGAAAAATGTAACTGTAGTTGACAAGTCATAAAAAGGTTCCTTGATGAGGACCAAGACGAAAATCAAGGTAAAGTTTCTGTGGTTTCCAATCTGTGGATGAGATAACTCGATCGCTTTTACGAAGAATAGCTTTTGACACGTTCCTGTGCGCCTGTGAACCTCGCATCATTTGACGGTGAGCCGTGTTTTCTTTTACAAGGACCAGTCCCTTTGGTTTCCCTCTTGCAAGCGTTGCATCTATCAGCTAACATTGTTCTTCTTTATCCAAGCATTCTTTGTATCATCCATTTTATAGGTCTTTCTTAACGTCAGTCCAGCTGTTTTGACATTTCAGTACTTGTTACCTACTCTTGAAAACATTCTCTAAGGAAGCATCTGTAGTGCAAGTCAGAAGATGTTTGGAGGGGATACGCAATTACAATTTGATGATTCAGCTCGGGTAGATTATGTCAACATTGGCCATTCAATAACTTCAGGTATTAATTCCAACATTGTCGCCTGATTCAGATGGTTTATCCAAACTTGAGTCTGTTTTAAAACAGGCTTAATCCTTGTTCTCGTTTATTTTCTTGGAAAAAAGCTAACAATACTTCTAGATAGAGCTCAAGCGCCAAGTGTCTTCGTTTTGCGCTGTATCTTATTTCTGGACAGTGGAAAGGTGCTTTCAAAACTTTTCCACTATCCGGGTTTCTTTTATCAGAAAAAATCCTTGCCACAAAATTTGACCTTGCCACCAACTCACTCGCAATTGGTGCTAATAAAAAACACTTTCGCAATCCTGCAAGTCTGACTGCAGTTACTGGAAGAGGCTGCAAAGTGGCAAGCACAGAAAAGCAAACAGGGGAGTAAGCTTCCTATCTATGTTCAACCTTCATATTATTGATTTTCCAGATCCCAGAGAAATTACAATCTTGCGTCGTGAATACAAGGTCTATTAGAACCACATGTGACAGTTTTATTTGATTACATAATATCAAAAGGGGCTGACATGTGCGTGGTCACAGAAACATGGTCAAAACAGTATGACAATGCTGTTAGAGCAGCTTGTCAGTCAGAGGGCTACACTTTTTTAGACAAACCAGGATCTTCAGATCTAATGGGTAGGGACACTGCACTCCTATCCGTAAATTAATTGAATGCAAAGAATTAGATGCAGGAGAAACCAATTTAGAGAGTTTACGATTCAGGAGAGAATATGAGTATGTCTCCAGCTCCATCCCACTGTCGTGTCGCCTTCCTTCAACTGGTCCAAACAAATTAGCAATTATACCATTGGGTGCAACAACTGACTGAAACTTTATCGCATGTACTCTCTTACGCCCATTGTAAAGTACTCGTTGGTTTTGCTTTGGCCTACAAATAGGTCGCACAGTACCATTGATGAAACCCCAGCAGTTATCGAGAGCAGCGCCTTTCTGGTAAATTGCATCTGCACATCTTTGTAAATTTTCTTTTGAAAGAAAAGGCTGGTTTAGACTTCTCAAGAGCTGTCCGTGTGTGTCAACCATAAAGTCAATCACTTTATTTGTTATCATGCAGAGCTTCTGTGAACCGGCCTACCAAACCTCGGTACTAAGTCTGCATATCGACAAGGATATGCCATATGTTTGAGACAGGTGCACAGAGCTTCGATGGAATCGACAACAACGCCATTCGCACATCGAAATTCCTCGGGGAGACGAAGTGCAACGGCAAGGTTATAAATGTCCTCCTTCTTAAAACGAAACTCGACCAAACATTCGCTTTCTTCCATGTCCTCTAAAACAAAACGATCGTGATTTTGATACGGTAGCATACCGTGAAGATTATTATTAATGGCGTTGTAGAAAATCAGAAGTTCTTCGTCATCCAAGAGTCCTGCAACATGCAACATTGTAAGTTCTTCCGCCATTTTTAACACGAATTTGATTTTGGCGCCAATGCTGCGTATTACAAATTAGGTCGTGATTCGTAACATGTTTTGTGACTACGGGCGGGAAGGCAAAACTAGTGCACAGACCTCTTTGAGTAGTCGGAGTGACCCACGTAGTGGATCGTAAACCAATATTCAGAGTGGTTGGTTACCGAGGGAAGCTCCAATCTTAGATTATCAATAATATACCGGCCACCATACTCTGCATGTCCATCACCCAGTCTTTTTTAGTTTTTTTCAGTGGGATATTTTAAGTATTTGCAGCCAGCAACTGATCTTGTGTGCAGAGCCACTCCTAATGATTTTAAACTAGACGCGTCGAAGAGAACTGGGTCGAGAATTGGGGCAAAAAAACCATGCGTGTTGTGTTGTGTTGTGATTTCTTGGGTTTTTGTTTTGCGAAAGAGCAGAGTTTACTTCGTTGGCCTGAATTCAATCAAATCGTGGGCATTTTATCAAGAAATAATATTTTTAAAAGCTACTGAAATAGATCAGCGTTAACAATCAAAGTCTTTAAATTATTTTGTCACTTTTGACATCGCTTTGAGAAAAAGGGAAGGCTTAGGTATTAAGGCCTAAAAACTGCAAAGCATACAGAATGCAGCAGCAAGGAAAATAACCGATATAAAGAGTTATGATCACATCACACCCGTATTAAAGGAGCTGCACTGGCCTCCTTTACAACAAAGGATTGAATTTAAGATATTGCTGCTAACATACAAGGTACCGAATAACATGGCCCCGTCTTACATTGCAAAAATGTTTGTATAAGGTTTTGATGGGTCACAAAATTTTGCCTGAAAATAGTGGAAAGCCTCCATTCCCTGCACAACATATACGTTATGACCACTCCAATTGAACAATTTTCACAATGTTTTCGATATTTTGTTAACTTCCTTTAGAGGTTTTCTATCCGATTTTGGATATCCTTTTTTGATTCAGGCGTAGCTTAGAAATCCTCTGCGAAGGAAAACTAAGATATCGTTTTACAAGTAGGCTTACAATTTTTGTTTGCAAACGATTGAAAACTGCCGTGAGTTTTCATTGTTCCTATTTGATCAAGATGAAAACGAAAGTTTGACTTGGCCTTCACAGATCAAGCAACCAGATCAAGCAACCAGATCAAGCAACCAGATCAAGCAACCTTTGTTAGCTTTCCAGCGGTGTACAGTGGCCTATGCGTCTGTTTTATTTCACTCATTGTTGTTTTTATCAAGTTTTATTTACGCAGACAATTTATTCGTTTATTTTTTTTTAAATTCATTACCCGGAAGATTTAGATTTACTGGATCAAAATAGATGCTTTAGAAGCTATTAATGAAAAAATTTCAGAGCTTAATAATTAGGTTCACGACGCTCTCCAGCTTTATTTGTTTGCGATTTGCGCACGCTCAACGACTGCGCTCGTTCATTTATAAATAAACCACGACGATATTCAAGCCGGCGGTTCCTACTACGTTCCTCATTACTTGCTTTGTATGGCAGAGTACCGTGCTTCATGAGCAATCTGAAGAAGATTGATGTTTCTCCGATGCATAATTGCACCTGTTATGATTTGAAGTTCTAAATGCGTGTTATAGAGTCCTGGGTCGTTTAGCCTTATTCCATCTGTCGATTGGACGCGGCGATTACAAGAATTTCGTTCACTGATTTGCATCAATTCAGTTCGCTTTTAGCGCTGCTACTAACCATAGGAAGCCTGCTGTACGGCGACGAACATCTTCATCTCCTATTTTTCTATGCTCGAGTTGTTCCGAGTGATTTCAAATGCTTGGCTGAGCGAGTTGTGAGGTGCCTTTATCGAGCCAGCTGCGACGATGAATCTGAGTATGAAAAGCATTTTCCCAGCTTTACTTTTTGTTCTGCTGCATTGTCGGATAGAAGCAGGTAATGTTTGGTACGATGTTAGTAATTAATATTTTTGTGTTCCTTTTGTAGCAAACATTTTGATTTTTAGTTTCAACAGTGTCCTTTTTAAGGCAACAATTCTTTTTTGGTTTTCATGGTTTAGTTGCCTTCTTTGTTTGTAGATTTGATTTCTTGAGTTTAATCCTCATTTAACAGCAACGTTTCTACTTGTCCCTTGCTTGAAAGCAGCAAATCTCCGTACTGAATGTCATTTCAATTGAAAGCATTTGTTTACAAACTTGTATCTCATTCTTCGTCACTATTATTTTATAAGAAAAGTTGTGCCAGTCGCATTTTTTATACGTAATCAATTTCATCTTGCTTGAGATTTTTCATGAAAACCAGTTTATTGAGCAAACCAAAATACAAAGTCAAAACGGGTTTGTCCTGTTTCAATTTATATTTCATTTAGTTTTTCGTTCGAATTTTATTACGGGGAACGGGATTTTCTGTTTAGCGTCACTGTGACGAATCGATGCATTTCTGTTGCCTCTCTGATCTTTTAGGAAGGAACTTCTTGAAAGACAGACTGGTACGGTACAGCGCAGTTCCCGAGGGATCAAAAGTAACTTTAGTTGGCCTGCTCCATGAGTCACATTATGAAGTTTGTTCTAAGGTGTGGTTAAAAGCGGAGCAACCAATTCTCATACAGAGTTCGTCAAAATACACTTTTCTAAATAGCGACACAACACTGGTGATTCACGACTTTTCAGCTGCAGATGTTGGGCCATATTTATTCATCTATTCAAGAAACAACAAAAGCGATCGTGTTGTTTTCGAATTGGAATTGATAACCATGCAAGGTAAACATCATTGCTACATTTGTTGTTCCTGCTGTATCAGGTAACTAAAAGTACCTCCTAAAAGTACCTCTTATTTTCACAGCTGAGTCGTTCATTGTGAAATATTTGTTGTGACCATTTGTTTGGGAGGGCCTTTGTCACCACAAAACTCATGGTAAAACTGTAGGTTTTTTGGCATAGTTTGACCCTCAAACATAGAAATGTATACCTGTGCAAAGTGTCTTGTAAATATGTTTTAAGAACTGTCGTATGCTTTATAGCTTTATAGGCTATTTTATGTACTTTATCAGCTATCTTGACCAGAGGCAAAGGTGTTTTTAATAGAGTTTGAATCCTGTTCTAGACCCAGTTTCCAGTCCTCCCATATCAAGATTGATCAATGGTTCCCATTACTTGCTTTTTGACCCACGGCTTTTAATGTTTACTGTTCTTAGAGCTGTTTTTAGTTTCTACTTTTTCTAGTTTCTTGCTAAGATGACTTATTTACCCTAAATTGGCTCATTTTAGGACAGCATTGGTACCAAAAAGACTCGAAGCACGTTGGTACCGTGATCGGAATGTTATTTCTCTTTCTGATCATCCTGGCCCTCGTCTACTACTGTTGTAGCAAGGACGTTGATACGGTTTTTCCTTCACTGCAATTTAGAAAACTGGCATTACAAAGTCACCCTTATAACATTCACAACGACAATATCTACAGCGGTGGCATTAACTTTTCACCTGGTGTTCATGTGGCAAACAATAATGGTAGAAGAAAGACTTCAAAGGAAGTAAGGAGAGAATCATTGAACATGTTGGGAATCGCATCTAGACGAAAGTTGACGAAAAAGTACAAGAAAGATAAAAGAAACAAGGATTTAGCAAGGAGAGTCTCACTGTCAACAGTGATATCTCCACCATCTCCTACGTTTCTATAGGGAACCAAATTTTAGATTTCGTAGCTCATTTCTTGTTTGGGGCAGGTTCCTCTAACTTATGATAAGAAAACTGGGTCAAGATTTACTTGTTCTTTTTACCCTCAGAGGATAATTGAGAAAATCAAAGGATAGGATACCCTTTGATTAATATGGTAGTAATATAAAGTAGTAATATGGATAAACATATTACTACTTTAAACGTGGTTTTACCAAAAAGAGATAAATTATCTTTCATATTCCACTGCTTTGACAAGACTCATCTTGTAAATACACCGTTTCAGCCACGTTTCTCCTTCGCAGAGGACATCCTCAGTTGATAAAGAACTTACAAACCGGTAATCAAAGTTTCCCGCCCTAAAGTAGTTCTCCTCTTCATTTCCGTCTGAGTGTAAATCAATATATTTGACAGATTGGTGTGGGTATTTGTCCAAGTTTTTTTTTTCAATTGTCCCTAAGAGTACTATGATAAATCCTCCCTTTCCTTAACTTGCATCTAAGTTTAAAAAGGATCATATCCTCACAACGTGCATTCGTAACGGGGTGCTTGACGATAAATCTAGAAATTATGAAATATGTTCAAAATATAAATATTATTTTGTTAGAAGATACTAGACTATTTTTTATCTGCTTCTTTTGGCTGCTTACGTCACAGCTTTGAGCCCAACTGCCACGCTATCTGCTATTCTGCCCTTAAGGCAATTCAAGCAAAGGGGGTTTTCAACCCAACATCAATTGGTGCGCTTTATTTTTCTGCAGATTTTCCAAGCAGGTGTGTAGATTAAAAAGACAAACCAATTGACCAGAATCTATAAATAGTTGAAGAAGCAAGCTGCTTTTTCATTTCGGTTTTTTGTATCGGTCCAGCAAGGAAAAAATCAACGTTTGTGGTTTAACTTTATGAAGAGTTAACTACACAAACAAGAAGTTTGAGATAATATAACTAAAGTTACATATTGACTTGCTACAAGTGTTTGTTCTGGGTTCTTTCAAAGGCTAGCGCTGCCTTTCCGAACCTCTACTGCGAAGGAGCAGAAATGATAGGGCATCCGGTGATTCCCTTCAGCAACTCATAACAAAGACTTGTAGGAAGTCAAAGATTCGGATTATTAGCAAGAATCATCAAAGAAATCGGTTTTCCATATACATTACGTCATCATTTATATAAGTTTACTAGCTTCATTACGTCATCATAGATATTGGTTTACCCAAAAAATATTTTTTGATTACGTCACACTTGGCTCCTCTGTTGGTTTACCGGCTGCATTTTGACACCGTAGGCGATTTCAATCTGATACACTCTTCTTGTACCTTTTTATAAAGGCAATTGATAAAGAGTGTCTTTCGTAATGCAATACTTTTCACAAAGTGTACTTTCAACTTTTATGTTTATCTTTCATTGCATCTGAGCAATAATTTTATACTAGTCTATCACGTCTCCTTTCAATTTCCCCATGGATGTTATGTTTAATTGCTTGTGAGAGTTTAGTTCACTTCGTTTGAAGCTTTTAATTCATTTCTATACATCATACAGAATATTTAAATTTTCACAGAACTTCTTCGCAGATTGAAATGGATAAAGGATTTATTTTTCTTGATATTCAAGCTGTTTTGCTCGTCGCAACGCCTAAATAAGCTTGTAATTGATCAGGGATGGCTTTCACATTTCATGGCTGAAATCTACACTATAGTTTAATGTAATCAAAGCAGTTAAGTCACACGGCTATTTTGCATAAGTGGCTGAGCTGAGTGCAGAAATGCGGATGAACACGATGCGACCTGGGTTCTTTTTTGCTGTCCTTTTTGCTCTTTTTTGGTTGATTGAGGAAACCAATAGCAAGCCTGACAAAACAATGCTATTCATCGGAAAGACAGGTTTGATCAAACTTGATAGTGTGTGTCGAAAACATTTGATTTGGCTTTCTAAACTCTAGCTAATTCTGTTATATGTGACATTGCATTGAATAGCTAAACGCAGCATACATCTACGGCATTTATCAAAATGGACCCACTCGTCACAAGCCACCATGAATCTTCTGGATAAGGTTGATTCTATTTCGTCATCGGTCCCAGCTCCCTACAGAGCTGCACGAGATAGTGTGCCGCAGTGCATGTGAACCAGTTGTGTGCAAATGCTTGTGTTGCCAGCTGTGTGTAATTACAATTTGTGGTTGCTTTAACGAGTTTTTGCAGAGCCTACGTTTCCCGACAAACTTTCTGGAATTTAATCTGCTCAACTGTTTGGTTTATCTTAGCCAGATAAGTATTTCATATCTCTTCATTATCATTTCATTATCTCATAGATGTCTGCTGAAAACAGCGAAATACGGGACTTGGCAGCTAGTCAAGCTTCCATTTCCGAGACCATTTTATCTAGGCCTGTTATGCCAGAACATTCAAGGGGCACTTCTGATCAACCCCTTAATACTGATCTACTTTTTGTTCTACAGAAAATGAACGACACAATCGTCTCATCCAATCAATTACTTTCCAAGTTTGTCAAAAACTATCCTAAACGTCGTTCAGATCACAGGCCCTCAGACTCTGATTTTGACTCTGATTGTGGCGAGTTTGAAGAACCTCCCAGAAAACGAAAATTACTTGCCACGGCCACTGTGTCTGTAGCGCCAAATAGGCAACAAAATATTTCAGATGTGCCTACCGATAGTCCTGCACGCTCACCCGCCCCTTCTACAGCCGGGCATTTGCATGAGACTCGTCCTTCAGCAGACGATGCAGTGAGTCTCTTTGGTGAGCAAGACATTGACGAAGGAGTCAATGACATTGAAACCCTCATCTCTCAAGATGAATTCTTAAATGAGGTAGAGAATGCTGTTGCTACAGCAAAACCAAAAGGTCCACCAATTTCCGAACATCTGGCAAAGATTCTCAATGACAAATTTCATATTGAGCTTGAGGCCTCGCAGCGCAAAACTCTTCTCGAAAAGTATTCAGTGCCAGAAAACTGCACGGGCCTATATCGCCCGCGAGTTAATCACGAAATCTGGAATTGTTTGAGCGCCAATTCTAAAGTAATTGACAAAAACATGAGTTTATTGCAAGATGCACTATTGACAGCCTCGAGTGCTGTTGCCATGTCCATTGAGGACATACTTAAGTATCGCGAGACAAAAAAGGACCTTGATTACCAGAGTATGGTTTCTCGCCAGATTGACATTTTAACCCTTCTTGGTTATGTCTGTAGTGAACTTTCATATCGTCGAAAAGAAAGTTTACGCCCCTCGATCTCTCCTGAATTTAAGGCGGCATGCGGGCGTACCACCAAACCAACTACCTTATTATTTGGTGATGACCTACCTAAAACTATGCAGGAAGTTCGCACTACTAACCGTATTCTTCAAAACTTTCCCTCAAATCGCTATACACGCCGAGGTGCATACACCCGTTTCCAAGCTGACCGTAACAACAACAATTCTTTTTTATTGCAGCGGGGGAGGAATCAATTTCCTCCCCGCCGAAATCCACCCTACTACCCACAAAAGAAAAGGTCTACAAAGAATTGGAAAATGTGAAAGAAAAGGTATCAGACCTACATTTATTCCTGCAACAGCTTTTATTTCCATATTTACGACAGAAAGTTAAAAACTTTTCTGCAGGCCAGATCTCTCATTATTTACATAATTGGAAAAAGCTGACATCAGATCCATATATCTTAAATATCGTTTCGGGTGATATGATCGAATTTGAAAACCCCCCGCCAACTCAGCATAATTATCCGGCTAACACGATCTCGCGAGACTTGCTACCTGCAGTACACAAAGAAATACAAGATCTACTCTCTAAGAAGGTCCTCTCTAATGTAACACATGAGAATTCTGAATTTATTTCCCCTATTTTTTGTGTACCAAAACAGGATAATAAAGTGCGCCTTATCCTGAATTTGAAAAAACTTAACTCATTTGTCTCCTATAAACACTTTAAAATGGAGACTATCCAACATGTCTTGACCATGATTACGCCTAGTTGCTGGATGGCATCTATTGACCTGAAAGATGCATATTATAGTGTGAAGATTCATCCTGGTTACCAGAAATTTTTGAAGTTTACCTTTCAGAATCAGCTATATGCGTATACTGCTTACCCAAATGGGCTTTCCTCCTGCCCCAGGCAGTTCACAAAATTACTAAAACCCCCTATTGCTACATTAAGGTCACAGGGGCACATTGTTTCTAACTATATCGACGATATATATATTCAAAGCAACTCATACGGTAGCTGTGTAAATTCCATTCTGTCTACCTTCCAACAATTCAACAATCTTGGGTTTGTTGTCCACCCGGACAAATCTGAATTCATCCCCAAACAAAAAATACAATATTTGGGTTTTATACTGGATTCTGTATCTATGACAGTCACATTACCAAATGCTCGTAAACACAAGGTCAAGGGGTACCTGGAGTTACTGTGTATTAAGCCAAATAACGTGCTTATCAGGGACGTCGCTAAAGCTGTGGGTTATATGGTATCGTGCCTCCCCGCTGTTCCGTTTGGAGGCATTCATTACAGACACCTTGAAGATGAAAAAATTAAGGCCTTAAAATCTTCCAATGGGAATTTTGATACAACTATGTCCATAACCAAACTTGCTCTCGCTGAACTTTACTGGTGGGTTAAAAACCTAGATAGTAGCTTTGGTTATATTAGACTTCCACCTGTTCAAGCTACCATTTTCTCAGATGCTTCCCCCCTGGGTTGGGGAGCGACGTTTAACGGTGTTCCTACAAATGGAACATGGCTCCCCTCTGAAATCATTTACCATATTAACGTTCGGGAGCTTTTAGCTGCATACTTCGCCCTAAAAAGTTTCAAATCTGCAATTAAAAACAAACATGTTAAGCTAATGATCGACAATACCACTGCTGTCGCTGTTATCAATCATATGGGCACTAATCATAGCAAAGAATGTAACTCTGTTGCAGTCAAAATTTGGTCCTTTTGTTATGAAAACAATCTTTGGTTGACAGCATGTCACATTCCAGGCAAATCTAACATTATTGCTGATAAGGAATCAAGAAACTTTCTTAAACAAGATGCAGAATGGATGTTGAACTCAAATGTTTTACAGAATGCATTATCTAGCTTGCAATTTAAACCGGACATTGATCTTTTTGCCTCAAGGCTTAATAGTCAGTTTGATAAATACTGCTCACTTAGGCCCGACCCCGGTGCTGAGGTAATAAATGCTTTTACCTTCCCTTGGAGCAATCTAAAGTTTTATTCCTTCCCTCCATTTAGCTGCATTCTCCTTGCCCTACAAAAAATTCAACAAGATCAAGCAACCGGAATTCTTGTAACCCCAAACTGGCCTACTCAACCGTGGTTTCCCATTCTCAAAAAGATGCTGTGTGCCACACCTGTCCATCTAAGACCAAGAAAAAACCTGTTGCGGTTACCAACAATGCCTCAATTACAACATCCGCTTCTCCACAAACTGCAGTTAATGGTTTGTTTAGTATCCGGGAAGCCCTCTCATTGCAGGGTTTCACGACCCCCTCTGTAGATATCATTATGGCTTCGTGGCGAGATTCAACTCAAAAACAATATGCTACTCATATAAAACGCTGGGTTGACTTTTGTACTCGACATGGCTGCAATCCAGTTCAACCAAATGTACATAATGCTGTGCTCTTTCTAACCTCGCTTTTTGAATCCGGCCTCTCGTATAGCTGTATCAACACCGCTCGTAGTGCACTAAGTTCCATATTAAACTCTAGTAATGATGAAATATCTTTTGGAAACCTCCCGATTGTCAGACGTTTTATGCGAGGTGTCTTCCAATTGCGCCCCACATTTCCGAAGTATAACTCTGTTTGGAGTGTCCATACTGTGTTTGATTTCATTCGCTCTTGTCCGTGCGTGGAACAACTGACTCTTAAAGACCTTACTCTTCGATTAACTTTTCTCCTATGCTTGCTGAGTGGTCAAAGACGACAGACAATTCAAGCCTTACGTATTGATGCAATGGAAGTTACCACTTCTAGCTACGTCTTTTACATTGTTCATCTGTTAAAGCATTCTCGTCCAGGCCATCATCAAAAACCACTTCGATTTGAAAAGTACTGCGCTGAACCAAAGCTGTGTGTGTATACCCACCTAGCAGAATACCTTAAACGAACAGAAAAGCTACGTTCTGGAGTTCATCAGTTGTTGATAACTCATACAAAACCGCATCGCGCTGCTGCAGCTGACACAATTGCACGTTGGAGTAAAGCATTCCTTGCTCTTGCAGGAATCGACACAACTATGTATAAATGCCATAGTATTCGGGCCGCATCCACGTCACAGGCTGTGCGTTCCAATAGCAATCATTTGGCTGATGTTCTGCAAGCTGCAGGGTGGTCAAACGAACACACTTTTCGCCGTTTCTATAATTTGCCTGCTGAAAATAATTTTAATTTTGGAACAGCATTAATTTCCAGTTAATATGCTTTCTTATGGTTTCTTTTCCAATTAATATGCTTCCAGTATCGATTTACATGCAATGGCGCCTCTTCCCTTTTATACAATCATAGTAGTTAACCCTTTGATGCTTGTTCTAGTTTTCTACGTAAATGTCTCAATGACTGCTCTAAAATCTCGTGCAGCTCTGTAGGGAGCTGGGACCGATGACGAAATAGAATTGTAAAATTAAACGAACCTACCTGTAGGTGAAGTTTGATTGTAATTCTGTGAGTCATCGGTCGCGACCGGAGGAGCTGTACGCCCTCCCAGTATTTCATTGACCCCGCCCAGTTCCTCCTGTCGCTTGTCATTGATCCATTTTACTCTCTCAAGGCTGGTTCACATGCACTGCGGCACACTATCTCGTACAGCTCCTCCGGTCGCGACCGATGACTCACAGAATTACAATCAAACTTCACCTACAGGTAGGTTCGTTTAATTTTACAATTTTGCAACGAAAGCCTGCCGAATAAATTTCTGAGTTGTTTAAGTTAATTGATCCATTTTGTCAATAATTTATACTATTGCGAAAGAAAGTAAAAGCTAATCCCTTCCAAATGTCTTTGGAACGCCCTCTCATTCCAAAAGACAATGTTGGCAGTAGAGTTAAAATACCCGAAAAGAATCGATTAGGCCACACAAAACCTCTTCAAGACTGCACAAAACAACATTGTTCGGAGGGGGTATGGGGTTAAAATATAAAATGTTAAGATTGATGTACCAAGACTTGCGGTGATGGCAAGGATCATAACTATAAAGTATGGTCATTGACTTATGTGAATATGAAAATAGAAATATACGAATTTCAAGCTAGTTGGTAAAGCTCGATTTGATTTGTTTTTAACGATGAGGCAGATCGTTCATCATAGTTCTTGCAATGCTGATACAGTTGAGGATTCTTTTATCTAAAATTCATAATTAGGAAATTAGATTTGTGAACATTACATCATCAACTTTAATTTCAAGGTCTCGTAATTTCTAATACTTTAAAGTAAACAAGTATCATCTGAAGCAAAGATGAGGCATAGTGAACAAAATTTGCATATATCTAACAGAAACAGAACAGGCCTAGTATAGTGCGTTGTCACACACCGCAATAAAGTGAATAATGCCCATTGACGCTGGGTAATGATTCGTGCGATATGAATGGTTAAAACCATTTTATTTTTCTGAAGCCATGATACACTAGTTTATCAAATAACACTAGAAAAATTCAGCAGGAGAATTCGTTTGTTTCATTTCGTTCTCTTATTCTGAAAAGATCTGTATTGTCCTCTTCTTAATTTCGATTTCATGGTGATGCTTATAATATTCTTTGTCTAAAAAGTATAGTAGTTGGTCATTCGTTACTTTTACCAGAAATGTACTAATTATCAACAAACAGTGATTTGGATATCATTATGATCGTATAATTTAGAATTACTTTTATTTAAGCAAAGAGCTACTTTTGGCATTCTTCCTTACAAGATGGCTCTAAGAATCAAATTACATTGAACGTTTCATGTTGCTTCACTTTCCATTGTTATTAATTCTTCCTTTTTTGTTTTGTATTGTTTTTAAACTGCACAACTGGTATAGCAGCATAAAACATAATCGGTTGAAGAATATATCTTAAGCTTTTTTATCAAAACTTTCAAAACAAAGCAATATCCCTTTACATAGTATCCACCAGCTCGCTGCCATTGATTTTTTCCTGTGATGTCGACAATACGTACAACTATATCCAAGTTGGAGGCATCACAGTTGATGGAAACCCGATTGACCCTGCAGAGCAGGTTGCTGCCCAAGAGGAATGCATGAAACAAATTACCAATCAAGCCGGAAAGGTTGTGGGGAAAGCGAGAACAACTTGTGAAATCTGGTTTAGGCCGGATTTTCAGTTGAATTCAACCAGTTCTTTGTTTGCAATTTATCAATGTTATGCTTCGAAACCTGCTGCTGCAAATATCACGTGGGCGAGGCCAAAGCAGCCAAAAGATGAGCTGAGAACAAGTATGTAATCACAATTTATGACGTGTACGGGTGGGGAACGAATTCTCATTTGTCGTAGCCGAACAGGTACATCAAAAGAGATACTATAGTTGACATGAACTGTAAATATTATTAGAAGAAAACATCGAACTTTTAGAGACAAGACTCAACTGTTGACATGCCGATTTGTTGAACAATAAGAATGCGTTTGAAGTAAAAGTTCTTTTTCTGCTCTGTCAATTCATTTAACTTGGATGATACTAATGTAAAGCTATGAAAGACGGGCGTTAGTGTAATTTTTCTTTGAAAAGAAATACAAGATTATGCTGTTTGCAAATAAAATTAGAAATAAAAATGTTGATAATCATTTAGGTTGGCTTGTTTTGAAGAGCTTCAATGCGTGTTTTTGTGAATTTCATTGAAATCTCAGCTGTCAAATTCAAATTTCAGGTTCCCAGGTCATGAGCAAGAACTCTGTTTTGATGTGCACAGGTGGGAACTCTCTGATCGACATTCGCACCGTAACAATAAACAATGAAGCTGTGAACACAACCGAATTTCCAGAACTTGATATCCATAAACTGTCCACGAAGTGCTACAAAGAGACAATCGGAAATTCAATAGCTAATTCTAAGGTCAGCACACATAAATAAATTAGTAGCAAAGTTTTAAATTAAAATATTTCAGACACAGTGTTTACAAGTTAAAATATCATGTGCGATTTAGATCCGTTATAAACTACATCCATTAAAACCATTACATTTAGGTTACAAACATTTTTGCGATACAAATATGACAATTTCCTATAGCCTTCAAGTTGACCTGAATCAAAATAGATCTGCTCTAGTTAGCGGGCTTGAGATCAAAGTGGAGAAAAGGGGCTCAGTATCCGGGCTTTAAAGAAAGGTTATAGTCTTGCGTAGCATCAGTGCCAACTTTTAATAATTACAAGTCTTGCAAAGGTTAGGAACTTTCGACTTTGTCCAAAAAAGAGTTGACTTCTTTTTGATATTGTGGTCTGAATTTTGGTGTTTAGCAGGTAATGTTAGTCTCTCTTCATCTTACACCATTCCAGGCAGCTGCTAAATGCACAATCGAAAAAGATTCTGCTCACGATGCTGTTCTGACCATTCACTATACTTGCAAACTGCCGCCTGTTGTCACCGAGGTCGAAAACGTTTTCGTGAAAGTTCCAGAGAATGAAACGCAACCAACCCCAACGCCACCCAGAAATATTTCAAAAGGTACTGTAGCTGTGTCATTAAATGGTGTTTTTTGTGATTAAGGATAGTCTTAGTAATGCAGCAACAGCAACATATCACGACAGCTGATTCTCATCTGCTCAAAGAAGAGTGGATAGAGGCTGCTGGTGTTTAGAGCTGCCAGGAGAATTTAAAAGATTCTCTATCACTCTAGTAGACCAGACGGAAATGGCGGGCAGTGCCACTTTGAGGCGGGGATTTTGATTCCCAGTTTCGAGCGACAAAAACGACAAAAGTCCCTTTTTATAGTTTGAGTACCACGACAGTCCCTTCTTAAAGCCATGAAAATCAATTGAATGGTAAAATAGATTCCGATGTCAAAGAATGATTTGGCTTTGCCACTTTTTGATAAGATATCCATATAAGGACATGGGGGTAATAAGCCGTCACGTGACAAGTTAAAGCTTATTTTACCACTTTAAACGTATTTCTACCAAATAAGATAAACTATCCATTATTTCCACTGCTTAGGCCAAGTTTTTTTGTAAAAAACGTCATTCCGGCCACGTTTCTCCTTCGCAGAGGATAGCCAGGAACTTCTCCTGACTTAACGCCCATTTTGCCCAAAAAACAGCGGCAAATCCCCATTACCATGGAGATGTCTAATATTCTCCTAAGGCTAGGCCACAGATGTATTATATTCTTAAAAGGAAAATTTATCTTAATCTTAGGGCCAGTTTCCCTCCAAATACACAACAATTTCTATTTTAAATATGTAAAGACTTACATAATGTCAGCACTGGGATTTTTCGTTATTATCAAAGTCTTGTGATTAATAAATGTTCTTGTATTGTCCATTTTGTATCTTAAGAGCACCTCTTACTAGATTAGATTCCAATTGGAAAATGATAATCATGTTGGTTTGATAAATTTATCATGATTGACACTTAACGTAAACCTCATTGCACTTATAACTTGTATAAACGTAAACTGGTATGAATTTTTACATTGTTGATCCTTGTTTCTAGCTATCTGATTTTTCTTGTTTAGAGAATAGTTGCTTGAACACAAGACCATGCCTGGCTGGAGGCGTTTGCAAATTGCCCCTCGGGTCCTTGGCCTACAAATGCGACTGTGTCAATGGAAGAACAGGAATTATTTGCGAGTTAAGTGAGTACTTTTTTTGGTAGTCCGGTTTTGTCGTTGGTACATATTATTCCCGAAGGAACAACCTAAGTTTCTAATGTTGGAAGCAATGAATGCGATTTGGACTTATTTGGAGATATTCCGAAACTTCTTATATGCATAAAGAAAACACCTTCCCTCGCAGTATGCTTTTTTGTCACTCGTTGAGGGTAGGAAAACAGGGTTAAAAAGGAACAAAATTCTCAGTCTTATTTTTTTGAATCATCAAAAGCCATTTTGGGACGATCTGCTTAGAAAT